GCGGTTAGAATCAGCTATGAATTTATAGACGTGAGCAACATTCCACCCATTTCAAATTGAATAGCAATATCCTATTCAAATTTGCTTGCTTGGTTCCTATTCATAACATTTCAATACACATTCCAGTCAGCATGAGTAATCTCTTTATATAAAGATGTCATGGAATAGGTTCAAAGGACAGCTCCTGGAATTTATGGAATGTGCCCAAAATGATTAAACAAAAAAGAGATAGAGTACTGAAACATCTACTCTATATAAATAATGAATATACTCACCTTCTATAAGTTATCTTTAAATTCTTCTTGGAATCGATGAAACTCCACAATAGCATCGGCTTTAATCAGATATTCAACAATAGTTGTCATGTCATCGATATCCAATATGACAACAGAGCTACTGTCTGACTTTTGAATGGAAAGTGATCCAAACAGTCGATCAAAAGTGAAATGAAAGTTTTTAATAATATGACTCAACAAACAACGCGTGGTTACGTTGTATGTCTTAGATTTAAAACTTCTAACTTCTTGGAAAAAAGTCGATAAATAACACTTTTAATTTGGAAGCTGTTTCAAAATCTAAAATAAAATCCGAAGCGTTATTATTTCCAATTTTAAGTTCGTACTCTGTTTTATAGCATTAAATGTAACGTGAACACCCATTACATGAAATATTCCAACTAAATCCGTTGCGTACAGTGGTGCGTTTTAAGATGTAAACGAATTTTGCAAATCCCTAAATATGTTAAAAGCTATTGATGATGTGGCACGTATGCATACTTAAACGAACTGTCGCGGTACTAACAATTTCTTTTCATCACCAATTCTACTGATAAAAATGTTAAAACGTAACAGGGAGGGGTCTTGTACATATCAGTTCTATAGACAGTAATACAAAGCGAACCATCTTGACCTACAGATCAAAGACTTGTCAGCACTTTGACACAATAGGATAATGAGAAAACCGATGCATGAACGTGATACAGCGTTTGTCTTGCTGATGACACAAGACGAATTTCAGTGCACGTAATTACTACCACGAGATGGAGTCGTGATGGACTAGAGCGTGCATGTGTCTTGAAACAAAATCGCTAGATGTTTGAGTCTATTCTGGAAACTCGTCCCAGCCAAGAACAAACCGAGAAACTCTAACACCTCGCAGGTTTCAATTAGTCTCTCATTTCAATTCACCACCACCAGTGTAGATGTTATCCGCCCGCGAGTGATAGGACAATAACGGCTATGGGAGCCTGATAGGAGTCTAACAATGACAAAGGTTAACCTTGGGTTTTAGATATATAACGAGATAATTCTGTGTGTCAGTCCTCTCGTTGTATGATTTGTTGATCTTGGTAAGAGTATTGAACTCGGATGATTATTCAGATGAAGACGAAGTTAGTCAAGTTTTGTCAGTTATCAAATAACACGCCGACGCCACCTAGACACCGCCTATGCATCCACTTTCAACATTTGCATTTACTACTGAGAATCATTCAGTCATGCTGTCCTTTCATAGCTGTTCTATATATAGAGTACACCATGCATTGAGTATCATCCAGTCATGCCACCCTTTCATAGCTGTTCTATATATATCTCGATGTTTTCATTTCAGTAATTCAACATTTTTTGTGTATTTTCTCTTCATGATAAAATTCATAAATACACATCTTGTACATCTTCAGAAAATGAGAAAATGGTAACTGAAGACATATAAATAAATATGCTTTAATATGTTTCCATAAATATACATAAAGATTTTTGTTCATAAATATACATAAACAATAATTATTCCAACACAGGGACACCAACTAGGTCTGAGACAAGATCCCCTAGAATTTGGAATGAACTGAATTTTGCAATGAGGGAACCATATCTACTACATTCTTTATATACAGGCACAATGGCAGAAATAATCATTTGAATAAGTTTCACTCAATTTAGCTGATATAATTCGAGTTCACTCAAATTAGTTACTAGAAATCGAGTTCACCCCAAACAAATTGGTGCCTTGTAATTATTGAGTTCGAACTCTCATGTCCCCCAAATGAGACTATGGGTGACAACTACTCACTGAAAACAGACTATAGCCAGCAAACTAGCGGACCGTTACTCTTACTCCGTTATCATCACATCAGCTGTCCGGCAAAGTGGGTTATGACCTTTTAGGATGAAATGTGGGATGTGGGATAAAATGTGGGATGTGGGATTTCTGGTCAGTTGTCCCTTTGTTTTTGCTAATTGGAGCATGAAATATGGGATTTTTGGGGGTGGGATATGGGCTTTTATCTTTAGCTAATTGTTGCATTGTTTTACCATTGTTTTGAAGCGGGGTTTTTTTGGGTTTTTTATTTTGTTTTTTGGTGTGTGTGTGTGTGTGTGTGTTATCAGGGCATGTGCACGTGACTCTTTTCAAATACTCTTAATCCCCGTTGTTTAATCGCAATAACAGTGGGGGAAATTCCGTGAAAAACAAGTCTAACATGGACTATCGAGGCCTCTCGTATTATCGAGGGACCGGGGGTGTAATCCAGTTTTCCGCGTTTAATCGAGGAAATACGGTGATTATGCCATTACGCACGCCCACCCGCTCTGACTGGGTTCGGTATCCCGGGCGCTTTGTTTTGAGGGAAGTAAACCCAAGTACACAATATTGCACATTTGATTTGCGATTGTACGCTTATAACTTTGCTTATTTGGGTTTTTTGTTTCATAATCAGCAGTGTATATTATATGTCATGAATAAGTGATAATTGTGTTTTAATTATGTTTGTTTGGGTTTTTTTGGGTTTTTTGTGTGCATGTTGAAACAGAAGGATTCCAGGATCAGACTGATGTATGTCTCAGACCCTGGTGCTTGTATAGCTGAACCCTCTGTTTGTATGATACAACCAATTCATAATAAATAACTTTCTCATTAAAATCAATCATTAACTGCTTAATGAAGAAGAAGACATTGTGTATCACTACGCTTAATGAAGCTGGGTGTGGGATTACTAGCTAATTACTGTATTGTGAGGCTATTTTAGGATGAAATGTGGGATGTGGGATAAAATGTGGGATGTGGGATTTCTGGTCAGTTGTTCCTTTGTTTTTGCTAATTGGAGCATGAAATGTGGGATTTTTTGGGGGTGGAATGTGGGATATGGGCTTTTATCTTTAGCTAATTATTCCATTGTTTTACCATTGTTTTAGCATAGTTTCTATTGTCTGTGCTGTAGAATGAAATTTATATCTACTGTTATCTGTAAAGTTGAGTAATAACCAGTAATGTACGTGGTGAAGCATCAACATCTACGTCTGTCTAATTTTACAGCGTGTACAGGCGTGAGTATTTGACCATTGAGTTGTGGCCAGAGCGGTCACAATAAACACGTGCAATAAACACTTGACATCAACTTGATTTTATTGCAAATTTTCCCAGGTGAGGTATTTCGCAAAGTGGAATTTTACTAAGGCCAATTGGCCATTATTCCAAACTCTTTGCTCTGAAAAACTTATACCGGACAACTTCAGGAATGTTCCTGATCCCATGGAACTATTTACTGATATCTTAAATACTATAACAGTTGCAAACTGTGTATATTTTTACCTAAAATTATTCAGATATTTCTCAACAAAGTCGATTTTATATCTCTCACATTTTGTTAAAATATTCATGTTGGAACAGACTTGATTACACAATGCCATTGCAAAATAACAGACTTGTTATAACTTGCGTAACTGACAGCTGTCTATATGCCGCCGTATTCGCCCAATGCCGGTAATAGCCTAATTGAGTAGTGTTATCATATGTTAACTAAACACTTCAACGAAAATAAAGAAGCCCCCCATCATACCTTAACTAGACAAACAAATGAATAGCCACTAAAACAATTTTAATCCGTTGATATCAATGGGTGACGCTTATTTGTGAAAACGGTATTGATTCCCTTACTCATAGTGGCTTTCGTGGCACCGAGGTTTGTACTTGAAATGTGGCTTAATTGGTAGTTTTAAAAGTGGCTTTCCCGGGCGGACACCAATAGGGGAGACCGCCATGGTGCAGTCTCTGTCTGTTTCAGCGAAGCGCCTGCGCTGCATACCCAGGGAACCATGTGCTAAAAAAGAACCGAAAAATCGAAAAATAAAACGATATAAATACGAAACGGGAAAGCAGTTGCAATTTGTGGAAAACAGTTGTGTACGCGATGTGATCCTGCATCGCATATCATCGAAAATGCGTAACAACATATCCTACAACAATTATAAAGCAAGTTTACAAAAAGAAATAATATCATTTTTTAGATTCGTTTCTACTTCAACATTTCACTGACCTGGTCACGCGTCGAGGGAAATTTAGCGAATGTAGAACCCATGCAAAAAGTTTTCGGACACTTGACGTAATTTCCGTAGACTTACATGTTATTTCAGTGTAACATAAATCATTTTCATGAGGTGAGTTTAGGATGGACCTTTGTAAACTGTGACAGGCAAATTTGAAATCATCTCTGCTCTGCGGACTTAATTTCAGTTCAATTTTTCGACTAGTATTTAACTAATGACATCACATTCATCAACTTACGTATGGTTCTACAATGCACACTCCTTAAAGGAGTTCGCGGCACTATACACATGTTGCCAAATTGTTGCCATTCGATAAATATGCAACGGAAAATTAGACAGAAATTGTGTGATTGTAGGTAAGATGATTCCTCACAAATGTGCAAAATTTGACTTGGATCTTACGAAATTAAATTCATGAAAATTATTTTTGATAAGATAAGATAAGATAAGATAAACTATATTGTCCCGCAAGGGAAATTTGTCTTGCATTCATAGAGCCAATACATGACTTTTAAACAAGCACATAATGCCACATCCGATTTAAGCACTCGGGAATATATTTTTTCAAAGCACCGCAATCATAACGCGCGTTCTGATTGGTTTGTCGTATTTTCACACGACAAGCATCAAGACGGGGAGGGGACCACACTCCGGCGCAGCGATGAGCATAGCATGGATCAGTAAATGCGCATGGGGGCGCGGCGCATTCCTCCACGACTAAAACCAGTTCAAGTGATAATATAAGTGCAGTGAGAGATCCGAAGAGGCGTTTAACAACCTTAGGTGAACATCGTTGATCTATTTGGAAATACTACACTGTACAGAGGTACGTAATTTCATATATTTATTGGTAATCCTTTTTGGAATCAGTGACTGATACAGCTTTTTGAGAAATGGGGGGAGGGGGGTGTGTGCACACTTAATTTGTTTACGAGAGTTTCAATGTTCAATGGTCATTTAATTAACTTTCAGGACAAAAGGGAGGGAACACACACACACACACACACACACACACACACACACACACGCACACACACCTCTGGATCCGCCTGTGGGAATGCGCCTTTCCGTTAGACAATGGCTAGTGGTAAACTTGTTGTGATTCCCACTATACGCGGTATAACGAAACTACTTACTCGACCACTTTTTCACAGGAGTGATTGCTCAGTGTCATAGTGGTACAACAAACTGCAAACAGCAAACCAGAAGTTTTCAAATATTTCCAGAAATTATAGGAGAAATGTGCCTCCTAGAGTGTGGTCAGTGGTCAGGGTTTAGACTTATGTGAAAAGGTCCGATGCTCGAACAATGAAATGGTGCTTTCCATGCGCTTTGTTAACTATGAGATGATGTGGTATTATGGTCTCTGTTTAGAGACAGTATATCACACCAAACTTCTCTAAAAACAAATAATTTGCATTTCTCTTAATAATACTAACACCATGTGACAGTTTGTGATGTACGGACATAGGCGGATCCAGAGGGGGGGTGCAGGGATGCGCACCACCCCCCACCACCCCTTTGTCCTGAAAGTTTATTAAATGACCATTGAAACTCGGGTAAAAATGAAGTGTGCACCCTCCCTTTTCTCAACAGTGTGCACCCCCCCCCCTTTCTCAAACAGCTGTATCCGCCCCTGTACGGAGCAATTGTTTACATTCCATATATGGCAAGTGTTCTCTGTTTGGAAGCTGTTCATTTCGAAGTTTCAATTATCAATTTCAGGTAAGTCATAAGGATAGGAAGTTTTTTATTGCATCAATAGGAAGCTAAAGTGAGTGCACATGCCCCAATGTATATATATATACCTATTGAAAAATAGGTCGAGTAGATCTAAAGTTTTGTTATGCTGTGTACAGTGGGAATCACAACAATTCCACTAGCCATTGTCAAATGGCGCATTCCCACGGGCGGATCCAGAGGGGATGGGTGTGTGTGTTGTGTGTTTTTGTTTGTGTGTGTGTAAAATATGAGTCCAGATATTTCTTGCCAAATAAAATATGCATAGAAAATTTCCAATTACGCATTGAAAAATAATTGTTGCGTACCAATTACTCATTTAAAATGTTAGATACGCAAAAAGTTTAAAACAAATGCGTACGGAATATATTTAGAAAAATCGCTGGCGTAATGAAAAAGACATCGTTTGCTATCAAGTTGTACTGTTAGTATAGGACTAGTGTTGTACTGTCAGTGTAGGATGAGTGATTTTTTATGGAATCATTTTCGTTATTCTAAGCTGGTTTTGATTAGGTATGACATAAGGCAGAACGTACCTGCTTAGTAAACTTACTCAATGACGTAACACTTAGGTGTGTAAAATGACTGAAATACCCACATATTTGAAAGCAGTGGGTAACGGAAAATGAAATACCCACTCAACATTCATAATACCCACTCCAAAAAAGTACAGTGGGTACAGTACCCACATAAGCTAAATCTTATCTGGAGCTCTGATTATTGTTTCCGAATTACGAAACCTAGCTGCAAACTGGTCAGCCTCTGCTCCCTCTACCATGACGGACACGGGGACTGGGCTACTGTCCACCCTGGCAGAATTTCTTTAACCTAATCAGTGGGACATTAGGAAGGGTGGATGCCCATCAGATGCCGTTATTTGAAAATATCCCCAGTAGTTCTTGTCTGATTGTAATAAAGTATCAAAGCAGTGTGGGCTTTTTCAGATTTTCAAATGTTTGGTTGGTTGGTTTTTTTCAGGCAATCAAACTAGCATGCAATGCAGCGATTACTACTCTCTTGCTGTAACCCTTGTTTGGTGGTAAACCTACATATGTTATTTGTCATCATTCACTTGATGGTCAGTTAATGAATTTATAACAGGTATAATTAGTGATAACACCACTCAGATTACCAGACAAAGGTTCCCATTTGGCATTTCTTGTGTCTGGTTTAAATACTCATCATTATAAATTGAGTCTGATGTGGCAAATGTATTACATCTTATGTAATATGCGCATGGAAGTGCAGCAAGAGGAATTATCAGCTGAGTTACAAAAACAAACATCGATGAAAGGATTAACCGATAACACGCTGATTGATTAATTGCTTTTATCCTGCACACCGGATTTGTCAAAAGGTTGTGTTTATGTGTGTAGATTTACTCATCTATACTGAATACACCCTGTCGTAAAGTGTCTGTGTAAAAACAACGTCCTTCCTTCAAAGGATTAACCACCAATACATTGATTGATTGCCCGTTATTGGCTAACTAAATTACTTTTTTAAAGAATGGCAGACATCATGCAATTAGTTGCCAAGTGTGTTATCTTGGGTGACCAATGGGACTATACACCAATGTGAAAAGCCTGAAATTAGACAGTTAAAAGACACATGACATGGAACAGGATTCTGTGTCAGCTGCAAATGAATGGCATCTCATTCCTTTATGTGGATATTGATGGATATAATAGGTAATACCCTGATATTGTTGCTATAACTTTAGTCTGTTTTAATTTTAATATTTGCATTTTGTTTTTATTCATTTGTTATTGCATTCAACAGAATCATACACTAGGTCGCACTCAGGGCATGTGTGTGAAATATGATTCACGTTGGCAATCTATAAAATGTCTAAATATTACAGCCATGTTATAAATTCACTAAGTATAAGCAGATCGTGGGCATTTTATTAAGTTTCGAAATGCATACAAATATGATAATAAACTAATTAGGATTATAAGACAAAATATATAAACGTACATTGATTTCGTTATTTCAGTCCTAACATTTTTTACCACTGGCAAATGGTTAAACCTCAAAATGTTTTCATTTGTTATCAAAATAACGAAGATAGAAATATCGAGTAAAAAAGATTTCATCTTTGTTGATCAGTCGATACTTATACTATCAATTGCGCATGAGGGTGGCGCAGCGGAGGTAACAAATTCAGTCATGAATTCTGGGATATCATCCAGGTACTCACGGGAGAAAAGCAATAACAAAAGCAACAACCAGTCCACGGGAATTGCTCTGGATCAATGAGACGGCCTCCGTGGTGTAGTGGATAGAGCGCCTGAAGAGCAGAAGGTCGCGGGTTCGATCCCCGCCCGCATCATACCAAAAGATGTTAAAATATGGTACTTGTTGGTCCCTGCCTGGCGCTCTGCATTAATGGGTACTACAAGGACTGGTCGGCTCGGAGTCAGTATAACATGTCTGAGTGGGGTATTCCTGCTTCACTGCGGCATGGTATCTCAGTGGGCTAGCACTATAAAACCAGCTTCAGTCTGGACTAGTACAAGCAGCCGCACATACACACACACACGCATGCACGTCGTCATATGAGCGAAATATTCTCAAGCACGGCGTTAAACCCAATTTCACCTCACCTCACCTGGATCAGTGCCTCTTTAAGTTCTCTGTACCATGCTCAATTTTTGTCCTGGTGTGTGAAAAGTTATGATTCTGTTTGACTTGCAACTCATGAGGAGAGGTACGTGAACTGTTTACATCTCCTGCTATGGGTATGTGGTATGTTGGCCTTGAAGAGACTGTTGCCAATCCTGGTAGGTTGTGTCTTGAATTACTGAAAAGGGTGCATTTTGCCCTTAAGACCTTGTGAAGACCTCTCCCCATCCTAACTTTCTTCAGTGTTCATGGACTGTTAATTCTGTCAAAACTGTATCTCTGACTATTTTGGCTCCTCCCCTGAAATAATGTCCTACATCATACAAAAATGACTCGTATCCAATCTTACTAATTAGTTACTTTCATTAGTCCCTTTCGAGACTTTATTTGGTACCATCAATTTCTTCCAGTCATAAAATGACATTGCTAGTTATCCTTAAGCCATCCATCAACCAAACATTGACATATCTAACTAATATCTCAGACTGGTAGGCGCCAGAAGATACTTAATAAAATCATTTCAGATCCAATGCATGCCCCTTATTTACAAACTGACCAAACTGACCATCTGTATCCCAAATGTCCATCCACCCAACACCAGTTTGAACCTTTCACCCTCATTTGTGTCAATTCAGAGAAATTGTTATTCCCCAAGAAAAGTGAATCAATAAGAGTTCGGTTAGCTTGGTCAATGCACTTTCCCAGTACATTCACCCTTCTTAACTTGACTTCAAATTTTCCTTAAATATTTATAAAATGTATATAATGTTTTCAACTCTAAATATCCTGGTTATACTCAAGTGAGTTTGTTCAAATTGCCTCTGTTCACCCAGCAGAAAATGGGTACCCAGTGGGATAAAGTCATGTGACTATAACCTTTCAGTTCCTAACATGCAGCTTGGGTTATCCGCGGTAATAAGAATCAGATTCTGATTAAGCACCGTGAGCTATCACTTGGTGTTTGGAGACTGTGCGCTATAGAAGATGACTTGTTATTTATATTTATATTTTTACTTAAGCTGATCCAGTTGTTAGATCTCCCATTAAAGAAAGGGACACTTCTTTTATCTCTCCCACTTCTCAGAAAGTTGTTTTGGAGAGTCTACTGTTGACACAACTCTAAATTTCAAAATGATGTATGACAAGGAGTGTGGGGCAACCAAAGTTAAGAAAGAGAGACAGTGTAGTTTCTTTTCACAGTATCAAGGAAAATACACAGATAGGCTTGACAGAAGTGTTTGTTCGTTGGCTAATACTTTTGCCCTTAGTCACATCAATCTTGAGAAAGTTGATGGAAGTGAATCGGGTAAGGCCAGTGATTGGTTGAAACGTTATGAAAAGTTTACATCTCTGAACAGTTATTCTGGTGAGGGCAAGAAAGAAGCTTTCAGTTTGTGGTTAGATGTCAAAGCTTTTAAATGGTTTGAGACAAAAGATTTTGAGGATGATTCTTGGGAG